CCTACTTAGGATTTAATATCCTACAAGTTACTTTATCAACCAAACGTAGTAGGATCAGACGGTTGACCAGTGATTAGTGGAGGTGCGCGCAAGCTGGCCCTGACACAAGGATAAAAAAAAATACAATACATTTTCTTTTTTTATTTTTAAAATGACTAATTTAAAAAATATATATTATTTTATTTTAATATTTGTTCGCATATTTCTCTTTATGAATTCCAAATAAACTATTATTCTTATTTAAGGCACTCATTTAAAATTAATATTTTTACAGACTATAATTATTTAAACATGTACAATAGAACAAGAATTAAGATTAAGTACTTAATTAATTTGATTTCATCAACTGTTTAAACTTAATTATTTAAGTTTGACATTTTAAATTTTCTTTTATATCAAGACATAACTGCATATACATATCTTTAAAAAAAAGACTAAGTATACATAAAATTGAATTATAATTCATAGAATCTATAATAATTGAAAGTTATATATATCTATGAATTAAAAAATATATTTGCATTGCAATTTAGAAAACTTCAAAATTTATAATTGCACGTATGGAGGGAGGTAAAACTGAAACAATTAAATTGTAAAAAAAAATAAAAGAAAAAAAGGGTAGGACCCACCAAAATTGAGATGATTTGGCCACACTGTGAAAAGAGATATAAAAGAAAAAATATACGATTTGATACGAACCCATACAAAGAAAGAGAAAATAGATAAAATAAAATAAAGTAAGGAGTTGAATAGTAACGGGGAAGTTGAATAGTAAATTGGGGAGTTAAATAGTAAATTTACTATTCAAATTTAGAATTTTTAAATCCTTCACTTGAACGATGACCCGTAAGTCCGTCATTTGAACAACCCTAAATTTGTAATATAGTCAAGCTGTACGTTAGGCCTTCTGAATCTTGATGGCGCGTGAGGGTGTGTGTTAAAGAGAATTAGACATATTCATGACGAGGGTATGGATTTGGGATTTTTGGCTTTTTTTTTTTTTTTTTTTTTTTGAGTGACAATGAAGGTTGTCCAACCTTCCTACTTCAACTATCCACACCTAACTCCCAATTTTGCCTATTTTTCTATTGCAATACAATGTTCCAAAGTTGCTGTTTTTGTTGGTTTGAAATCAATCTATTTTCAACACATCACAATTTGATGCTTCAATATCACAAAAACTTTAGATGGTTTTTAAGATATCAAAACATAGTGCACTTTACGGGTCCTTGACGTTCGGGTTAAACTTTTATTGGGTTCTTATATTTTAAAATATACTTCATTTTAGTCTTTAATTTTAGATTTTGTGGCATGTACTGTCTTATGATTTACTCTTGAAGTATTTGAAACGTTTCATTTTAATAATTGATTTTAGTTTTTCTTCAGCTTCGTTCTAAGACGATGATTGTGCAGTGTGTGAGGGAGAAGATAGAGGGTGAGAATTTAAAGATGTATATTGCAACACTTTAAGATGTGTTAGAATTATTACTTTTTTGCCACATTATCGTTAAAACCAATTCTAAATAATTGTCATATCATCTTTTATGCTAGTAGTGGCTAATAAAAAATCATGCAAAAGGACTAAAATTGAACAATTGTGAAACCTCACATAAAAATATGTGATTTCGACAAAATGAAAATTTATAAACTTCAAGGATTAGAAGGGTATTTGTCCCAAAACCTTATATTAGTTTTTGTTATTATTATTATTTTTTAATTATTTAAATAGAAACTTTGACTTTGTCATGTATTTTGTTACTTTCCTGTAATATAAATAGATGTGATAGATAAATACTTGAATTCACAAGTAGTTGACGAATAAATAGCTTCATTTATAAGGTAAAAAGAAATAAAAGTTTTTTTTTATATTAAAAAGAAAAGAGAAGAAAGAAGCTTTCAATTATCAAAAGGATTTTGTAAAGTTGATTGATTTGGTTTGAATTTTAATGTGTCATTATGAAGTTATGCTGCCCATAAAACCATGTTGAATAAACAAGGGTAGAGAATTTTTCACCCACTAACTATTTTAAAATTCTTCTCACGTAAATCTCTCCTCAAATTAGAAATTCTCACTCCACTGTTATTTATTTAGTTTTTGAAAAAATCACTATAAAATGATAATTCTACTGCTATATTAAGTTAATAGGTAACCAACGTATGAGCATAGTTCAACGTGATACTTTTACTCATTCTCTTGAATTTGGAGATTCGATCCTCCGTCCTTACTCTTATGTATTCAAAAAGAAAAAAGAAAATAATAAACTCATTTTGAAAGACTTAATTAAAGGATAAAAAATGTAGGTTTTTTTTAGATAAAATATAAAAATACTTATGAACAGCCACCTGGACTACAGAAGAAAAATCTTCCTCTTTATGACTATTTAAGATCCATTTAAGAAAGTCTGAAAACCATAATCTCAAGACAGTTCGATGAAGCGCTTCCTTCGCGAGAGAATCATCCTGTATTTTGAGCTTGTGACTGATAAACGAGAACGAAATCATATCAAAGTTGTTCGATATTTCTTGAATTACATGTAATTTGCTCAAGTTTTAGTTGATTTTTTTTTATAAAGAATTTTATGATATCTTAATTTGTGTCTTTACTTTTCTTTTCATAAGTGTAGTATTTAAAATAAAAAATCTCATTTTAAAAATTAATAAATATATAGATTTTGAAGATCGAGAAACAGGGAAGAAATTTTGTGTAATAGGGTATAGTCTCTAGTCTGATAGTTTAGCCCTAGCATAGCACTTTGGATTGCATCAATAGCCAACAACTTTATGAAGTTATTGTACCTAAAACATTAATTTTCTTTTGGTTCATTTTGGTTCCAATACTTCTAAAACCTTCATTTTAGTTTTTGTATTTTTAATATATTTTTTATTCATTTTAGATTTTGTACCTTCAAAACATTTGTTTGGCCTAAAAAGTGACCAATTTGGTCCCTTTTTGTACAATATTAACACAAATTTTATATACAATAGAACGTCTTTAATATAAATCTTGAGATACATTTCAAGAAACTTGGTAAGTATGAAGTAATATCACATTAAAATTATGATGGAAAGAAATGAGAAAAAATGAAAATGAAAGGAACCAAAATGATCGCTATTTAAAAATACAGGGAACAAAATAAATCTAGCATTGTTAGTGAAATTATCTGAGAGAGAGGAGAGATTTGAGTAGCATCGAGGGACGTGAGAGATCTGAGAGAGGTAAGATGTTAGTAGCGTCGATGAATAATTGGAACAATATATGATGCAAGAAAGCTCGAGAGAAATTAGAGCTAAGTGAGATCCGAGAGGGGGGTGTGAGAGGATGTGTTAGGTTTGTAAGGAGTGAAAATAAAGTCTCATATTAGCTAAGAAAAAGGAGAAGATCACGGGTATATATGTGAGGGACAATATCTTTATTGGTACGAGGTTTTGTGGGTGAAACCAAAAGCAGGGGTTATGCTCAAAGCAGACAATATCATACCATTGTGGGAATATGCAGGGTCTTTTGCCGGGTGGACTCTGCCAACATCTAGTATCAGAGCCATAGTCTAAACCTAGCATTGTTAGTGAAATTATCGAGTGCCGACCAAAGAAGTGGGTGTGGCCTGGAGCTTTAGATGCGAGCAAAGGGGAGACTTAGTGATATTTTGTTCGAGATGAGAGAAAAATTAGAAGCTTGGTGGTATTTTGTTTCGCGAGGAGATAATTTTTAGATTTGTAAGGGATGTAAACAAAGTCCTATATTAACTAGAGAAGAACATGAGTATATTTGTGAGGGAATGTGGTGCAGACTGTCGTGCATATCATTTTTGCAATATATTTATGTTTAATTAATTTATTAAATTCAGTCAATTCGATGGAAAATAGCATTTTCGACCAAACTAATCAACCGATGAGTCGATTATGAATTTTACAACAACTCTGACCGAACAACTCATCACACCAGCCAATCAATATCGTTCCAGCTGATTTTGATTGGTCAAATCAATTTTTCAAAAACTTTTATTCACCCATAACGAAATGGCACGGAAATGGATTAAAATGTAACCAGAAAAAGAAAATAGAACCCATTTTCAAATCAACTTAATGAACACCATGAACTCGTTTGGTAACGTTCCTGTTTCTTAATTTTTAATGAAGAAAAATGTGTTGCATGATTTCAACCTCAAACCATTCAAGTATGATAAAACAATGTTTTTATTTATGTTTTGGTTGTTCCCAAAATTTATATATAATTGTAATAATGTTTCTAGAAAATGAGAAACAAGAAACAAAGTCAGTTGTAAAATACTTAGATTTCTTAAAAAAATTGGAAACGACACGTTACCGACGCGCCGAATCCATATCATTTTTATAGGGTTCCATGGGAGATGATACGTTGGGCATTGTGTTTTGTTTCACAAGAAGAAAAGGAATGCATAAACTTAGGAAAAGAAACCATCTTTTAAGAATATTATTATCCATTAAAACTCACACCAACAACTTTTAAAGTGATGAGTTTCCAATACCCCACCAATTAGACCACGTTTAAATCAATAACCTTTTGCAAGTATAGCTTAGTACATACTCTTTTGGGTCAAAGATTTAGATTTACCCCCAAATTTAATGCACTAAAACATTATTTATTTATTTATTTTTTCTTAAACTAACTCAATAATCAAGACATCTCTATTTTCTCTTATTGAAATCGGTTTCTTAAATTTCTCTAAATCAACGAAAACAAATTTCTTATTTTTTTTTCTCCAAAAACAAATATCAAAAAATTTTGTTTTACTATTCTTAAATCTCATTAACATCATACAATTCTATTATTCCTTATTAGAAAAAAGGAAACAAAAACAAAAAATGAAACATAGAAAAAAATGAGTGGTTAGCAAGGAAACACGTGAACCGCGACGTACAGAATAAGAGCTCCACGACACCAACCACACATCTCACCAACCTTCTTTTAATTGTTTCTCCTCCACGCACCGTTTTGGCCAACAAAATCACTCACTCACTCACTCGCACCCCCATTTCCATCCTCACCAACCCCACCGAACAAAAACCCTCCCAACACCACACCAACCCCCACTCTCACCACCCAGCGCGTGCTCCTCACTTTCCCCCTTCACCAACTCCCATTCCCCCTCCCCTATATCCCCATACCCAAATCCAAAATCAAACCCGAAATTTCAATTTCAATATGATTCTCTTTCTCCTCCCTCTCTTCTTCATCCTCGCCTTCAGCCTCTACCGCCGCCTCCGCTTCCTGCTGCCCCCCGGACCCCGCCCCCTTCCGGTCGTCGGCAACCTCTACGACGTCCAGCCGGTCCGGTTCCGATGCTACGCCGAGTGGGCCCGGCAGTACGGCCCGATCATATCGGTCTGGTTCGGGTCCACCCTAAACGTCGTCGTCTCCAACTCCGACCTCGCCAGAGAGGTCCTGAAGGAGCACGACCAGAGCCTGGCCAACCGCCACCGGACCAGATCGGCGGCCAAATTCAGCCGCGACGGCCAGGACCTGATTTGGGCCGATTATGGGCCCCACTACGTGAAGGTGAGGAAAGTTTGTACCATTGAACTTTTCTCTCCGAAGCGCCTCGAATCTCTCAGGCCCATTAGAGAAGATGAAGTCACCGCCATGGTTGAAGACATCTTCAACTGCTGCACTAACCCTGGTACCTAAATTCCTTTCTTCTTATCCTCTTTAGTGTTCACCACTCCTTACAAAATCGAAAAGTAAAAAATACTTAAATTTGGATCCTCCCAAATATTTAGCGATGATCCGGATAAGATAGACGGCGTGTGACAACTTAATTATTTTTCTTTCGAAATTTTAGTGGTGGTCACGATGCTGAGTAATAACAATTTATATCGATGTGGAACCTATACAATTTAATAGTGGGACCCACGTAAATATACATAACATTACTGAGATTTTTTAGAGCATGTTTATGGAGAATTCAAATTAGGAGGTTCATTTTCTCCACGGGGACCCGCTACATGGAAAAATTTTCCTCTCTTCTCTGTCGGTCTCTCATTTTTTAAATATACATATATATATACACACATTAAAAGAATCATATTATTCTTTCTATATTTATATATACTAATAAAATCGTTATGCCCCTAGAATATATGGGAGAGGATTAATAAAGTATTTATCATTGAAAAGTAATGAATTAATTAGAAATTTCCTTAAGAAAAATGTTTAATTAAGAAATAATTTCAAAAGTAAAAGAACAGACGAAGAAAAAATCCCCATGAAAAATTCGATCCCCATAAATTCCATGTGAGAATTTTGCGGGGATCCACCTAATTTTGCGGAGATCGGGAATTAAATAGAGGGTGGGGATGTCCCGCCCCACGAACATCCCTAATTCAAATTCTACTTTTTTTTTTTCTGTTAGATTCACTGGAGGATTCTTTTGTTATAATTGTTTTCCAAAATTAAAATACTTAACATAATATACTTAACATAATATATTATAAGAAGTGTAATATTATAAAATAATAATTATACCAAATTAATAACATATATGTAAATAATAATCGGTGATTAAGCTACCGGTAAATATATTATTAAGCACATATTAAACAATTTTTAAATTTCCTACCACCAAACACTTATTTAAAATATGAAATACTATACTTATTTTCCTTCGTTTATCAAATGTACGTTTTCCCTCAGCAACCAAACATGCTTTGAGATAGTTTTAAAATGCATTTTAAGCTAACTACTTATTTTGTTAGAAGCCTATTTTCTTTCTCTTTTAAAATTATTAATTTGTGAGCTGTCAATTTGATTGTGTAATAATTTATTTTATATAGAAAATTGCATCATAATTATAGAGTAGGGAATGAAGTTTGACTCTTTTTAAAAGACATAGATGTCTTAACCACCACTTAACTATGTTTTATCCCAAGTTATTTTGCAGCCAAGTCATCATTTTTAAACAACAATTTTGAAATTAAAAGCAAAATTTCATTTGAACATATTTTCTTATATAGTGGAGAGAGAAAAGAAGTAAACTCTTAAAAGCTATACAAAAAAGAGAATTTCAGTTGGTTTATATATCAAAAAAGTTAAGACTTAGGTATTATTGACCACCAATTAAAAATTGATATTTATTTATTTTTTTAAGACAAGTCCACCCTCAGATTTGACATTCCGGTTGGTTTTTTTTTTTCATATTTAACCGATTTGTTAATTGTTATTTCATTTTGTTTTTTATTTTATTAATTTTAAATCACAACATCTCGTTCTTTTATATTTAGAAAAAGATTTGGGAATCAAGTATTAATTATAAAAATAGAAAAAAAAGCTGTTATGAAACAAATCTGATCGATAACTATTTTTTTGTCTTTTTATTTTAAAAATTAAGTCTATTATTTCCAACTATATGTTTGTATGTTTTATTTTTTTTAATAATTTCAAATTTAGACCAAATTTTGAAAATTAAAAAAATGAAATTTAATAACTTATTTTTTATTTTAAGAGGGATAAAACTTGACTCTAGATTTTGTCTTTTAGTAAAATATATTTTTGTTTTTGCAATTCTCTTACTTGTCAAATATTTAATGGTGGTGAGGAGATGGTTCTTCTTTGGAGTCCAGTTTCATCTTTTTAAAAATTATCTTAGAATTCAAGTTTCTTGTAAAAAGGAAAAAAGGGAAAAGAATAATAAGACGGTAAACAAATAGATTTAATTTTAAAAACAAAAAAATAAAATATTTATTGAATAGGATTTTAGTATTCTTGTTATAAATTTTTTAAAAGAAAATATTAAGTTGTGGAACATTTCAACTGCCCACCATTAAAATATTACAACCCATTAGTTTTTAAAACTTGTACCATATTTAATGAGGGTGATATAAATTATCATCCTTAAGATTTATTATTATTTTTTTATCCATCTCACTCACTGACAATTGTCATTAAATTAAAATTTTTAATATTAATTTTATTTAGAATCATTTTCAATACCATTAAAGTATTATATGTCTGCCCATGAAATAAGTAAGCGATAAATGAGATAATGGCAATGGCCCCTAATATGCTCTAAAATTAATTCACTGATAAAATTTTATGTAATTTTATTATGCTTATCAATATTTAATTAATTCTTTATTCAAAATAAAATAAGTAAAAGAAAGTAATTAAAAAAAATTTTCTTTTTTGAATCCCAAAAAACAGTTTTTCCAAAGTCCACCAAAAACAAAAAAAAAAAACTTTATTTTCCAATTTCATCAATAACTTCATACTTTGATCAAG